TTGGCTATTGTAATTCCCAGCCAAGCGTGTAGCCAGCCACCGACGGGACTCACCTTAGCACTAGATAATTTCGGCCAGTGTGTTAGTAAAGGCAGACAGAATAGTGATTGTGTAATAGCAAAATGAAGCTTGAGCAGGAAACATATATAGGTTCATACCTTTAAGCGATATTGAATGCGGCTCTTTCGGGAAGTTCCCGGTATCAGCACGCGGCCTAGTCATGAGCTCGATTCGACAGGCGGGACGTGGCTTCTGCCTGCGGATAGATGCGAGACAATGGCTGGCCAAATCAAAAATAATAAGATAGAAAAGAGACACAACTCCCGAACAGGACACCTACAGCTTTGCACGGATAAGAGAATAGGGAGGAAAGGAGAGGAGGGGACGAGGAGGAGGATGCGTGACGATAGAAAAAGGGAAAGAAACGCCATCCAGCTGTTAAACTGTGCTTGGAGACGGGCAGGATGGGGAATAGAACGTGGGCTTGGAAAAAGCTCACCTTCTGGCCGTCAGACGATGAGAATTATCCGGTGCATACCCACTACTGTACTGTAGGTGGTTAAGCGAAAGGAGCCAGATCGGGCTCGCCTCCTCGGGCCCACGCAGGTGCCCCGGGGGTGCTCTAGACGCTCAGCCACGCTCAAGGAGCAGTGATTGAACACTTCAACTCGTGTCCGAAGCGCAGCGCAAACACAGTCAAGCACCATTTTCAAGATATTGACATCTCCTTCCGAGATTGATGGTTGCACAATGTTCTGTATATCTATGGTCACTCTTACCCGCTTTCTAACCTTCTCATACACCGCAGGCATTGAGTAATGTTCGTTTGAAACAAAGGCAATTTTCCGAAATTCTTCCAGCATGATGGGAGGATATGTGATTAGAGAGGATCATGTAATCCCGATTTGAATTGTGCTCTGTGTATCTTCACCCAATTGTTTGCGACGTTGACTGTTGAGAAGGTGAGGAATCTCGCACTTTCCAACGAGCTTGTAGACATTGACACCATCCGCCATCATCGACAGAGGTCTGAGCAAAAAAGTGTTGAGACTACTAGTCTCAAGAAATACTTCATCACCGACTCGAGCAGCCATGTGAACGGTGCCTACGACGTGGTTGTGGATCGTTCGCCCTCGACCATACCCTTTCAATGCTTTTATGTCAAGACATGAGGTCGCATTTAATTCAAGTCCTTCCATTTCTTCATCTCTCACGCTATTAGAGACAGGATCGTGTTTCCGGTCGCACTGTTCAAAAGACTCAGCTTCTTCAAATTGGTGCAAGCAAGTTGCCGGCGAAAGTATGGTCCACCAAAGTCCATAAAAATCGACAGTAGAAGACCTATTCGAAGAACTGTTTGAAACACTGAATCATCTGCGTCTAATGGCTCGCAGACATTAGCAGATCTCACGGCCGCCATATTTCCAAGGCCTGCCGATAGATGCTCTGTCAACTGCGGTATCACAAACACCAACAGGCAGAGATCATTTGGCATTGAGCCGATGATCGAGGCCATGACTCAGTCCCCAATCTTCGGCTTTGGAGGGCCTATCGGCATGTTTGAGGCTTAATGTTTCTTCAATGATGCCCTACGGTATTTCTCTCAGAGGAAGAAGCAGCATCTCGTCAATCGCCATTAAAGAAACATTTGAAAACTCCGTTTGTAAGATTGTGACCGATCCATTGCCCCTGTGCCGGCCCATGCTGAGCTGTCAAGGGTGAAGTCGAAACACCCACTTGGAATATTATGCCTCGACAAAATTCCGTTAGCCATTTCAAGCAGGTACCCCAGTGACTCCGGACCAGAGGTAATATATCCTGCTGAGAGGGTTTTAATGACTTTGGATCTGGAACTGTTCCGTTAGCAGTCCGGTTTGATGCTCAACTTCTGCATTGCGTGAAGACCAGCCACGTTCAGCAATGAATACAACTTATCTCGTGGTTCGGTTGATTCCCTGTTGCCAGGAGGATACTGGTCGAGAATCAGGTGAAAGTTTCGGGGAATCTGAGAATATTTCCAGAAATTCACAAATTCGTACGGCTTGCCGGATTTATTGTATCTCCTATGTCGTCGAGATGTCCATCGGCGCCACCTTCGAAACTTCTACCACGTTCGATCTCCAAGCTGAGTCTGAAGTCGAGGAAGTCATGTATGACAAATAGCTTCAAGGTCTGTGATGACCGATTGCCGCACAAGACCATTCCATCCTCAGCCACAGAGACTTCTTGAAGAATCTATGTTCTAGTCCAATAGGGTCAACCGCAACACATCATGCAGCGCTTTAATCTTCAACTTCAACCGGGGGACGTGTTTCAGCGCGTTGAAATTGTCGCAAAGTGATAGGATGTGGAGGATGGATTTCTCATCACATGCCGTTCCAAATAACTTTTCCGAATTGTAGTGTCTAGCCTCGTTGAGTTTTGAACGACAAAAAGCAATTTTGACCCAAGTTGTTTATAAGACGAGGCGGTAGGAGAGAGCGCCCGAGCGAGGCCTTTAATCTCGTCTCCGAATAGATTCCAAAAGTCTTGGATAAAATCGAAAGCAAGGTCGGGGTCAGGATTGGTTGAAGGGGAACCCAACCATGAGAGTACGCAAGAAGCGTTTTCTTATATGCCCTTCATCATTGCGACCCGCTCCCTTTTCTCCTGAGAATAATGCTGATTGATGGATATCTGATCGAGCCAGACAAATCGAGAAGTCGGTGGCGAAGACATTGTCTGAAGTGTTGTAACCCTTGTAAGCAATCAACATCAGCATGTTGCCCAGCCGAAGGGACGACACGATTCAATCGGAAATTGAGCCAAGGTGTGCAGTGCAGTTGCTCGCGATGAGGAAAACGAAGGATGCACTTGAGTGCGGACAAGTTCGATTTGAAGGTGTCATATATGCTTTTATCAGAAAACGAGGCAGGTCTGTCAAAACAGATGGACAGCAACTGAGAACTGAGTGCAGCCAAGCCTGACCTGATTTAGCCTCCGTGCCTCTTTCTAAGTCGCGAGCGGGTGTTTTATAAGCGGCATGATCGGGGTTGAGCAAGGTGAATCCCAGCAGGTTTTACACTGCTTGTGATGCCCTACGAGTAGATGGCATCAAGGAGACCCAACACTGCGTTTTCGGTGCTGGAGTCTCTGGGCGCTTCTTCAGCCCTTAAACCCATCATCTCGTCGGGCAGTTTGGCAACAGGGGACAATAGGGTTGGAGGGTGACTAGCCAAGACTCATGCCTGGCCAGGAGGCAGGTTTAGGCCATCTCCAAGTTAGCAGATTTAGGGTCTCTATGTGCTGCTCAGAGACGCTTCAAGAAGCTCAGGAAGGGCTGCGGAGGCTGAGCCAAGGCTCAATTAAAGCTCAGGTTAAGGCAGCCTTCGCTCACCCTGGGATCAAACCGTATATCGCAATTAGGTTTGACGTTCGCGAGTACTGGGCAATCTACAAGTAGGTGGTTAGGCGAAAGGAGCTGGATTAAGCTCCTTGCTCTAGGCTCGGGGAGCTGCTCAGCCGCGCTCATGGTCGGCTTAGAAGCTTAGCTTGTAGTAGCGGGGCGACACGCAAAAATTAAAAACGATGACAAAATACGACCACCCTCCTTATACTATTAATAATAAGTATCCTGTAAACAGAGGTCGATTTTGGGCTCTTTCGACGGGTCCCATTTTAAACCCCCGGGGTCCATGTGTGATTTTGATGGACCCGCTTATAAGCACTCGAAAGTAATCCAATGTAGATTTCCTACGGGGGAAATACGTTTGGGGTTCCCATGGGACTACCCTCTAAATGGGTTTCGTTGAATGAAGTCGGGGACTGTCCTGTTAAAGACAATGACGACGACGGTTCTTCACCAACCTCTCTCACGGCTGAAAGAATCCCAACTACTCAAGGGTCATATTACCTACCGAGGCCCTCCGCGAGCAGCATGGGTTTCTGTGGAAAGTAAACAAGGATAAATGGCTCTTCGGCGTGAAATACCAGGGTTGAGTGGCGCCACATCCAAGTCCTCGGTGGGTCTTTCACAAACTGATGCTCAATCGTTCACCGGTCAAGGCAGTAAAATGAGGGGGCCTTCGGTTCTTTCAGATTCGACAAATCCCCAGAGTTTGATTTTCGTATGCACAATTTGGAAATAAGCCCTAAAGCCATGTCAAATCCACGACAGCCGTGCACAAGTCTTGTTGGTGAACCACATTGATGGCTCTGAATTGTCGATTATAATCCCGATGTGCGGCATTTTTGCCAGCTAACAGTTGGACATAGGGTCGTCCATTGCACAGCCTAGTCTTGTGTCCCTGCCTCCCTTTAGCAGGGAGATGGTCGTAGAGAGGTCGCAGGTAAATTATATCAGCCAATAAATTGATGGTCATGGCTCAATACCGTCACCGGTTTTGAAGAGGATGGGCCTTCGCATCTTTTCTGCCCTCTCGCTACTACGGACGTCGACATATTTGAGTTGATGCTGCTGGTACACCGGAAAAGCCCAGCCGGGACTACATTTCACTAGTACTTCGCTAATTCGAGTGCTCAAGCGGCCCAATGACTCCACGCATCTCAATATTAGAAAAGGCTCACCAACTGCGCTTGACTCAAGAGGACTCTGACAAACGGTACCATGGTGGTGATTTCTCCACGGGACCCCAGACCGGAAAAAAGAGACTCCTTGTCCACACTTGCATCCACATCCTCGTAATAATCCTGACCGGTTATGCTGTGGTTCGAATCGTTGCGTCGGAAAGAACGCCTCATGAATGCAAGGCGCTGTGAATGTGCGAGGTCCTTCTGTGGGGATCTTTGGCAATGGTCAGCTGGACTACCGGGACAGGAGGTAGATAACCCATAAAATATCAGGAGTCTACGGTTTTGTCATTGTGAGATCATGTCCAGGCTCAATTTTTCTTATGCGTCGGATTCTGGTTAAAATCCTTCATCTTAGAAGGTCCCAAGTTACGACCGAAGTTGTAACTGATAGATATCCTTCGTCCAAACAGGTTGATATCCGAAGTGACATGGCCTTCGCCGCTTCCGAGCTTCCTGCGGACAGCGCTGTTGGGAACACATCGCTATTTGGCTCAAACGAAATCACACAAAAAGATGGGTGGCTGGGAGAAAAATACTTGGAATATGCCCTGGCTCATCTATTGCTTCGACATACACCCGACTCCCATGAGATCATCTCTTTAAATGTATTTTGGGCATTACCATATTCATATAGCCCATGTGACTATACTAACGAGTTCCAGGGCTCCTTATTTCAAGAACTTGCGGGTTTCCGTTATGATAATTTGTGTCGACAATTGCGCAATAATGGGGTTCGACAATACCGGTCTCCTGCGCCTGGCCACTTCCAAGGTCATGTTAACTTCCGAGAAGACGCCGTGTGTTGGATCGGTGCTATTGTGAGGCGCGGGACAAAAAATGAACGAGCTATTCTTGATCACGCCATAGTGGACAATTCAGATTCGCATAGTCCAACATTTAACAGCACAACAGACATAACTACTTCTGCTCAAACGGTTGTGACCAATCAGGAAGAGTCACCGGATGAAGAACCAACTTCGACAGACTCTGAAAGTGACATCTGGCTGTACACCAATACGCTGCAGGAGCGCTTTGCGGGGAAAGATGTGGTTCCTATCTACGAGGAGACGATGATTCGAAGATATCCGCCCAGATTTAGGGCCGTGGTAACATTTCGTGGCAAGAACTTTTCTGGAGAGGCTGGTAACAAGAAGCTCGCAAAACATCGAGCCTCGAAGAAACTTTGTGGGGCCTTTGAAATCGAAGTCCGTGAACCGTAAAGAGGTCGGCTTCTCTGACCGCACAGGGTAATCGTGAGACTTAATTATTTACTTGTTATTCTTCCACAGATCTTCCAAGACTGGCAATTGGATCATTAATGGTAGGGATCCGATTGATAACGAGGTTGACTACGAGTAACAATATAGGAAGGTGTGCCAGGAGTGACAGTACAGGGCATACTCCATGGTTATTCCCAAGGGGCAATGAATGCGGTGGTACATTGCTGCAGTGCTATGTTGCTTCCAAGCGCCAATGCAATAGTATGATAACGCCCCAGCCCTGATGGCGAGGCTTAGCGAAAGACTTAAGTTGCGGCTTAAGTTAAAGCGGCCTCCGCTCACTCTCCAGTATCAGACCGTATTTGGCAAACCAGTTTTCGTCCTCGACTAATCTTCGTCCTCGGCGAGCGGTGCAACCTACAACTACCACAAGGTCCTTCACTCACTTACTTAATTACCACCACGACCACCTGTTGGCCGAATCCAGATTATCCGTCCTGAGTAATAAGTACCAGTGCATTCGTCCGTGCTGGAGAATACCTTCGAGGCGCTTGAGGCGCTCTCCCTTTGAATACTATTCTCTCTACGTCTTTCACCCTATATCCTCTGGAACCTCTTACCGACTACGAGGTACAGCCAGGAAGAAATCGATGTCTATTCCAGCTTGGTTGGCCCCGCGGGTTCCGTCTGGTATGCCCTCGAAAATCCGTAGCTCAAAGGCCGGACATGAGACCACACGGTATTACTCCTGGCGAGGCCTCGCCGAGGTCTCAAGTCAGGCAACTCATTGCAAACTTGTCAACATCTTTGAAAGAATGATTTAGCCAACCTGGGAAATGGCTGACCCTTGCCCTCTGGGGCACCGTCTTTCCACCAAGGTTTTTGCAGTGGGGGAGGCGAGTTTTGGCCCCGTCACAGTCTTGATAAGGCTACGACTAAGGCTAGTGAGGCCTCCCTAGCCCCTTAAGCCGGCTCAAACACGTCAGCTAGCTCGATGGTTGCTACTCCCGTTGGTGCCGTTTACAATGGGCTTACTGGTTGCGTGCAAGTCATGGGGGCGGTTGGAAAAACACCGGCAACCAGACTAGCAATATAAACGACTACTTGAGACCAACCTCATTTTCAGCCGCTGCCCTCTATAAAAGCAGTGGTCTTTCGACCTGACCACAAGAGAATGCACGGCTCTTTGCTCAGTTTCTTACCTCCTTCGCGCCAGTGTTTGAAATGTTACTCTCCCACTTCTAACCACAAAACTCTGTGTATGGGGACATCATGGCAGCTTCACGGCAGCCCCAGACGGCGGCTGCACTCTCGCCGGCGGAGATGGAGCTCAAGCTGATGTGGCAGGACGCCGAAGTTGATTTTAGGCAAATGACTAGAAGGAGCTTGAGGACGGACCAAGAAAAGAGGCTAGAGGATGTCCTGGCCGAGCTCGATAGGAAGTATCGACCCCCGGAATCCGAGGCTGGCAAAGACTCAGCCAAAACCAAGGCCAAGATCCGTGCCACTGTCGGAAAAGTCCTCAGCTGCATTCAGTTGTTGGGCGGCTTAGCTGCGCAAGGTGCATCGATTGTGTTTGGACCCGCTACCCTCTGCTTCAACGCCATCTCGTTTCTGATCGATGTTCCCGGCAAGATCGCCGAGGTTTACGAAGGTGTGGGAAGCTTGTTCGAGGAGATTTCGCACTCACTCGTGCTCTTCAAGATCTATGAGAACTATACGAAGCTTGACCCCGACTTGAGAGACGGGACGCACAAGCTGATGATGTCCATCGTGAGAATCTGTGGGCTTTCTATCAAAATGTGAGAATCTTCAGTAGAAAAAGCCGTGCCGGTGGGAAATGTGCTTGCATGTTTACTGTTGTGACTTCTACACCTTCAATTGACCCGGTCGCTTTAGCCCCTCGCTGACTCTTGTCTAGTATTGAGGGCGGAGTTTTGCATCACATCAAGATTGGAGCCAAAATCACTTTCCTGAACGATGACTCGGGCGTGAAGAGCGAACTTGCCAAGTTCAAAGCTCTGATTGAAAAGCAAAGTCGTGTGACCGAAGCCATCACTCTTCAGCATGTGCTGAGTAGCGAAGACAAGATTGTCCAGGTCCTCAATGCCCAGTATGAGAGTGCGGAGAAACTCGCCAACCTGGAGACGAACATGAGCATTGTGGTGGCAGACGTGAGCGATCGTAAGATGCACATGATTCTCTCCGAGCGACTTGACGCTATGAGCAGAATGTTGTCGACAACAACGGCATCGGCTCAAGAGGCTAGGAAGGCGATGCTCACTATGAGAGACAATCTCCTCACCGGAAGTGCACAATGGCTACTGGATCATGAAGATTATAAGGAATGGAAGACTTCGGAAGCTGAGACGATCCCATTGCTCCTGCTTTCGGGGGATACAAACACCGGCAAGTCTTTTCTACTAGCAGCCATCGAAGAAGACTTCCGCAAGACTAGCACTGACGTCTCCATCGCGTATTACGGGTTCACGAAACGCGAAGCAAAAAGTGCAAGGGACAAGCACAAGGAGGACGTGGTGACGGCAATGAAGTCCATGTGCCTGCAGCTGGCTGGCCAACACAAGCAATATGCCACAGAAATGGCTGGCCTCAAAGATGATTTCAAACCACCAGAGATGGGCAAAGAGAAAGAGCTTTGGGAAAAGCTCTGGTGGGACAAACTGCAATTCTCGAGATACCCCCAGACGAGGGAGACGGCAAACTTCGTCCTGATGTTTGATGGCCTGGAAGACTTGTCTGACAGCAACTGTGCTAAATTCCTTAGGATGCTCAAAACAGTTCGAGACGAAAGCCGCTCCGCAACCAAAGCCATCCGGCAGCATATTCGCGTCATAGCGACGGCCCAACCGAAGATATTCAAGGATAGTCCCATCACTCCCATCGAAATTGCTGACCACAATTTACCCGACATCAAAATGTACATCGAAGACGAGCTGAGGAAGGATGAAATCCTTCAAGGCCAACATGTGGAGATGTTGGATCTCCTCGAAGCGATTCGAGAAACGCTTCCGGAGGTGGCCATGGGTTCTTTTGCTGTTGTACAACAAAAACTCGAAAGAGTTCGCGAAGCCGTGGACTCTGACGCATACCTGGATGACGTGCAGACAATCCTGGACGAGAACCCTGCCGACGATTTGGGGAAGCTGGCGCGGAAGGTTATTAAGGACTTGAACGCGACACTGAAGCCCCACGACATTGACCAGTTGAACGAGCTCCTCCATTGGTGTATATTCGGTTATGAATACTTCTCAGTTGACCAGTTGAGGGCCACCATTTTCTTGAATTCTGGGAAGGCCTCGTTGCAACCTTTTGAACGAAAGCTGAAGGAAAAGTACGCGAGAATCCTCCATGTCATCGATGGTCGAGTGGAGGTCGATTATGACATCGAGGACTTGTTTCGAACCCAGGACAGCTCCGTATCCGGGACTGTGACTGTACCGGACTCGGACAACCCTCGCATAACGATGACGATATCGATTAACCAGGCAGATCTACGCACCGTTCAGCAGTTTTTCTGGGATCTCTCCGACAAATTGAGAACTGGGAGATTCGACTTTTCCGCCGACAAATCGAGCCTTGACGGCAAGGGCGTCATCCGAACCGACGAAATCCGCGCAAGCTACTATATCGCCGACCAACTTTTGAAGCTTTTGAACGACGAGCCTCATGAGAAAACCCAATGTCTTGTCTTGTATGCGTTAAAATACCTGACTCACCACCTACGAAAGGTCAAAGAATCCCTAGATCAGGGGAAATTAGGATCATCGGAACGGAGGATCATCGCAAAAAGACTTGTGGATCTCCTGAGTGACGTGGAGGGAATCGAAAAGTTCTGGGGTGCAACGAATGTGTTATCCTTGACTTGGATCGAGCCTGACGAAGTGGAAACAGTTCGGGGTTTGCTTAAGGATGAAAAAACCATTGATGTCCTCCAGCCGAAAGAGCGACGGTGGGTTAGAGTCCATACCGCAGAATCCGAGGGCAAAGCAGGGATTTATAAGCCTATTTCTCTCATGGTAGCGAGACACTGGCTGCGAGATCGTTCTTGGAAGGTATTTCCTGCTTATTACTGGATACGGAAATATATCGATTTGGTCAGTCGCACTTCCTGTTCCTCAATGTTATGAGGTCTCTGACGAAACCAGCAAAACTCGAAGGACGAAGAGGCCGACAAAGGGAATGGTGAAGAAGGCGACGCAAATGGCGACGAAAATAACGACGAGGCTGCCTCCAATGGAAACTCAGAGCAGGAGCCTGAACCTCGATCCGACGCCGACGAAATTGTCTCTGCTGCTACCTGGGCACAGCAAGCATTGTCCCTCAAAGATCAAGATCTGGACGCATTGTGGTATGACCGCCTCGGGGAGACTTGCTACGAAGCGGACGAGTTTCAGGTCGCAAAAGGATTTTATGAAAAGGCCAAAGGACTCCCCGACTGTCAGTGGACTGCAAACCAAGGCTGGGCTCTTGCGGTGTACAAATTAAGCCAAGCTCAAGACGATAACCAAGCCCAGAAGAAGGAGCTGAAAGAGTCCGCTTGCGACGAGATGGAGATAGCCCTCACCCACCTTAGGTCAACTTCAAAAATCCCTGATTCGGGGGATGACAACAAGAAGGCCCTTATCGAAGGCTTGAAGAAACAGGCCTCGTGGCAAGAGGAGCTTACTTCAATGGATCGCGCTTTTGCACTCTACGAAGAGGCACTCGAGGTGGATCCTGGGGAACATGAAATTCGCTGCGACCTGCTCAAAGCTCTCTATGCGAACAACAGGGAAGCAGACGCGAGGAAGATGCTTCTTCAGATGATGACCCAGCGAGAAAATCCCACTGAGCTCGACCTTTTCTCGGCCTTACTTCTGTATCTAACCGAAAGTGAGTGGTACTCTGCAGCTATCCAACCGATTGATATTATCCTCGCCTTGGCTCGCACAGACGAGACTCTCAACAGTCAGACATTGGAAGCATTGCAAACGGCCATCCGGGACGCCAGAAAGAGCAACCTCACAGTCAGTGAAGGAATGCTTCTGCTGTATGAAGGTACTGTCCTTGCACGTGGTTCCACAGACGATGCTCGTATTCAACAGGCCATCCGCTGTTGGGAAGACTGCCAATCTCTCTATCTTTCAGCTCGCTACGACCTGGTTGGTACTCAGGCTCTCGCGTCGCGCTTTCTGACGCAGCACTACTTTCATCAAGCCGTGAAGGAGGGCATTACGACGGAAGAACGGGAGGAGCATGTGGGCAAACTCCTCAGACTGAAGCGCCTTTCAAACAGCTGGATTCATAGCTTTCGCCCTAATTCCTTCCTTGCCTCTTACTATGTTCGACAGAACCAGTTAGAGGAGGCACGGCAGCTATTCATGGAAGATATGGTGGCCGCGATGGAGATACTTTCGGATAGCGATCCAGAGAATGATTCTTATGGGTACAGGTATCTAGCCAACATCCTCATGCATACTGGAGACGACCTCAACGCGCTCAGTGCGTGGTCTTTGCTCGGCCCATTCGGCCTGTTCAAGGGTTCGGAAGGGGAACCCTCAAACGGCGAAGACCAGGATGGTTCGCCAAAAGAGAACGGTGTGTCCGAGGCTAAGTATGACGGGCTAGCAGTAAACGGGATCCCTGAAGAGGAAGACGAACTCAAACCTTCCGCCTGTGAACAGGCTGAGCACAAGAAAAAAGCCGAGACTCGTGACGGTCCCCTAGGTTACACTTGTGACGGTCTTTGTAACCATCTATGTGAGTCTCGAAGCAGACCTGCGCCATTATTTGTGGAGCAGCGTTATAAGAGCTCCATCTTTGATGATACAGGTCTTTTGGTGCTAACGAGAAATCAGGGCGTTACGCAGATAACTTCTATACCTGCCGTTATTGCCCGGACACGCAGTTTACGCCTGACTGCTTCGAAAAGTTGAAAGCCAATAAGCTCGAACCATATATCTGCCACCCCGATCACAGCTGGCTTCATGTGCCAGCGTGGAGTGACAGAGAAGCGCTCGAGATCGGCCCAGGCAAGGTCCGAGTGCATGGGGAGCTGCTGGACGGCGTTAGGGTGGGCGGGGAGATTGTGGATATACAGCAGTGGCTTGACGAGATTTGCGAGATATGGAAGGTTCCGAAGAAGGAGGACGTGCTGATCATAGCTGAGCCAGTTTTGACACCAAATGGGTCGAGCAAGTGAATAGGGTGAACCAGCGGAGGGTCGATGGGATAAGCCCCAAGAAAATGAGAAGAACAGGCTGCCGGTTTAAAGAGGTGGAGTCTTGGCATTGACGTCACTTAAAGCAGCGTCGGACGTTTGGTTGCTGGGTTACATTCTTTCCAAACAAAGCGCGTCACGACTCGATCCTCAAAGTAAGACCAGGACTTCCACCGAATATCAGCATACAAGAACCCCTCCTAGCGAAAAGTTATTGAAAGTTTCAGACATATATCGGCATCCCGTAACCATGCGCATGACTCGTGCAGCCCTGCGAGCCCAGGCTCAAGAGGAGCCGCAACTCATTTACGAAGACGCCGACGCGAATAATAATTCCCTGCAGGATGATGGCGCCGACGCCAACGCGAACCAGGATCTTGTTCGGCCCCCATTGAAGGACATCACCACCGAAATCAATCCTCCGACCACTGACGACCCATTTACAGACGAGCAGACTGAAGCTACTGTTATGCAGAAAGTTAAGAGCAGGAAAAAATGTCGAAAGGCCAAGAATGACAAGGTTGAAAATGAGTCTAGCAAGGGGGGAGAATTGGACGAGCCGCAGGAACTTCAATTCGAAGACGCGAAGGACAGCCACTTGAGTCAATCCTCTGAGCACAAAGGCAGTGCACAGGACACACCTATTACGGTTTCTGTAGAGCAAGCTGCTGTCGGTGACAAAGTTACAGTAGAGGCGGTGGACGCGACCCTTGAAGAGCGCGGCGCAGTCGAATCAACTTCTACCCCTCGACACAGTCACAGCGGGCCTCCAAAGACACCCAAATTCGACCCATCTGTCCATAAAGCCATGGACGAAGTAGTGTTATCTGCTGAAGACACTGTCGAAGACTCTTTTGTGGAGAAGATCACATCGAGGACCCCGGGCAGATTGCAAATACTTTTGGAGGAAAGCAAACTGTCTGATTCCTACGTCGACCAGATCGGATCGCGAACGCCACGAATCGAAGACTCGGTGGAAGCGATCGATGCTTTGGAAGATGCGATTGAGAAGATCGCCGAGACATTGCCTGCGTTGGACGAATTGAAGATTGAGTCCCCTGTAAAACTGCGAAAGACTACTCCAGCCAGAATCAACCTCCGACCCAATACGCCACCGACAGATCCTCGGAAAAAGACGACTGGTAGACATCCTGCACAAACATCCCGGCGTCCGCCCCAGAAGGCTGGAACAGCTTCCGTACCTGCAGAGCGCCCGAAATTGAGTGCCACCCGCGCATCTTCTACCAATCCGATAGTCAAAGGAACGGTTACAACAAAAACGGTCAAGCGACCCATCATTGACGGCCACAAGTCTAGGGAGTCTTCTGCTCAGGCTTCAGCACCGCCACTTTCGTTCTCAAACTCTCCAGTTAAGAAACTTGCCAACACCACCAAGAAGCAGGTCGCTGGTGCCGCACTGTCCACCAGCAGGCCCGGATTTGTACCGGCCAAATCCACTAAATCTCCCACCAGACCGAAATTTTCTCTACCAGGAGATGCCGTGGCGGCCAAACTCAAAGTGCAGAGAGAGGAGCGAATGAAGCGCGAGGAAGAGACTGGCAATGACAAGAAGGTCTTCAAAGCTAGACCTGTGCCGGCTAAGATATCTCGTCCCAGCGTTGTCCCACGAGAGAACAAAGCCAGCCAAGCGAGAATGAGCATCTACGCCACTGGCGGAAATAAGGAGAACGTGGAGCCTAAACCTGCCGCCGCGTCTCAGCCAAAAACACGCCCTCTGTCGCATGAGGCAAAACCCAAAACATGGGAAACAGCCAAGGCAAAAGTGAGCGTCCATCGGACAGCAGCCTCTGCCACCCCCACTAAACCACGTCCCTCAAGTATTCACCTTGCCGCGGGTCAGAAGTCCACAATCACCAAAGAAGACGTGGTCCAGCAGAGAGCGAAGGGTAAGGAGGTCTTTGAACGATCAAAAGCCGAAATGGAGCGTCTCGACAAGGAAAGGAGAGAAAAGGAAGATGCGGCCCGCAAGGCCAGGGCAGAGGCGGCAGAGAGGGGAAGACAGGCGAGCCGAGAGTGGGCAGAGAAGCAGAAGAAGAAGATCGCCGCGAAGATTCTGGCTGCGAAGGAGAAGGAGATGGCCGGTAGTGCTGAGAGTGTGGCAAGTTCCAGGCAGGCGAGTGCGGTGGCGTCTGCTTCATCATGAACATCCTCCCTCTCTCTCTCTCACTTGACTGATTTTGGGCGACAAAGATTTCCGAGCCTGGGATGCGGTGCTTCCGTTACAAGGTCTTGTTCTTCAGCGAAGGAGTTGGTACGGACAAAACTTATTTTTGAGCTTGGAAGGACTAGCAAGCAAGGTCACTCAATCAGACGACACTTGTTGTTTAAACCCGTCAAAGGGTGGCAAGGTCGAGCGTGCCGTAGGGTCAAATCCAAACCTCCTTCATTGAAAGTCACATTCAATCAGGTCCCTCTCCACAGCAAGCATGTCCGTGTCCGTCATCTCGTCTCCATCTCCATGTGTGTGTGAGTGGTTTGATTCTTTTCACCCGCCATCTTCCGCCTTTGGTTGCACGGGTATCCTGACCAACGGCACTGGAAGTTCTTGCTCGGGCAGTTCTTGATCATGTCCCTGCGTTTGCTTTGATTTCCCCGCCATCTTCCCCTCCACATCCCGGTCCGGCACAGTCTCGACATCAGGCGCAGGAGGTGGCTTGGGAACCTTCATTGCCGCCATGCCAATGACCTGCAGCACGTTCTCCCAGTTCGCCAGCACCAGCGCCACTGCCTGCGCCCCGTCTCTCAGGCTCCCCAGTTTCTTCTCCAGCTGCTCCAATTGAGATGTCAAGTGTGCGCTGAGATCGCACAGTTGGCGCAGGTTCTCCAGCTCTGCGCGTTTGCTGGCGATCCGCGCCTGCAAGTGGGATTGGGCGGGTAGTGTGCTGGAGCGCAGCGTCGAGGACGTGTTGCTGCCGGCAGAGGCAGAAGGGTGGATGTCCGTTGGACGCGGGGCGTACGACATTTTTTTTACGACGGGTTTGTCGTGGTAGCGGGCGGGAAAATGGAGGAATATCGCCTATAAGAAGATGATAACTTGCAGCGAGCCAGACCCCAGGGGTTCTGACTCCTATTCTTGAGAAGTCTTCACCTCTCACCTCGTGTGTTGTCGTATAGCCTTGCGTTCTTGAACTCGAGAAGCACATGCGAGATGCCTGTGTCGCGAAATTCCCTAGTTCGAGAGGGCGCGTGATCCATTGGGCAACAAAAGTGCCAAGCCGGCAGCTAATCCCAAAATGGCACGTTGTTTTGAAAGCGCCGCTTTTGGTCATCCCGACCTCCAAGCCCCCAAAGCCCTTGACACAACCCTGCACTTCGTTTCATCGCCTATATTGCATCGCTACAGGGGATGCTCTCTATGCCTGCGATCGAGTTGTGTACGAAACCGGCAATCTGAGTTCCCGGAGACCGTCCAAAGAGACAAAAGGAACGTCCGGCTCGCATGATACGAAAATCGACTTGCCATGGCGAAACTCAACGACCCTCCCAATCCCCCTATGGAAAGTTTTGAATCCCGTAAGTTTACACTTCTCCAGAAACTAAATTGGGGGTCTGCTCTACCTCGGTGTTAGTAAAGACTGACGATGTGTGCAGTGAAGCGTCGCTTCATCCGTCAAAACCGCGAAATCGCCCGCGCCAATTCGTCGCAGTCGCAACGCATCCGCAACCTCGAGACGGAAATCTCCCGCCTCGTCGCAGAGAATATATTCCTGAGGGAACAGGCAATAGCCGCGCAGGCCGAGGCGGAGCGATGGCGCGCAGCGAGTTCTGTGAACGCTGAAATTCTGGATATGAGAGACAGACTGAACAGGAAAATGGAGGAGGTATCCGAACTGCTTGTTGAGATGGGGAATCTACCTGAGAAAGTGGCCAGGGAGGGAAGGCGGAAAAGCAGGCTTGTCAGGTCGACCATGAGCGCCACTACAGAACAGGAGTGGAGGAACAGACAGTCCATCAGAGAAGCACTGGCTCAAGAGAGAGGTGATCTGTACGATGGACGATTACCTGCTATTCAGGAAGACAAGCTGTACCCCCGACGGACGCTGGAGACTGCTGAGGTGACGGCCTTGCGAGAAGAGGCAGCCATGCAACAAGCGTCCGACTCGCCGGAACTCGGACCTCCCCCAGTCGCCCATTTTGATGTTGTTTCAGACCCCCTTGGATTGGACTCTGCACGGACGTCCGAGGACGAGAACGGCGGCGAGGAAGTCATGCAATTACCGTCACTTTTGGAGAGGAGGCGGAAGCGTCGAACCAGCACTCTCATCCACGATCTACCTACAGAAGAGGCTTCAGGACCAAATGCGCCGACAATAAGGCCAAACCCGCAGTTATTAAAGTCAGGTGCAAAGAGGAAACTGGATGTCTCTGAGCTTGACGACCCTGCTCCTCAGCAGCCCTTGAACGAGAATGACGACTTTGTCTTCCAACGTCGGCAAGAGATCTGGAACAACGCTACTGTCAACAGCAAAAAGACGTCTAGATTTACGAGGCCACCAGGACGAGAACCCGGAGATGCGACGGACTTTGTGAAGCAATCGAGCCCCCAAAAGCCCGCAAGCAGCACTAGGAAGATTCTGGCGCCCAAGAGTACCAACTCACCTGCGAAGAGAAGGCTGCAAGTCGCAGAAAAGCTCAAAGATGATCGAGATCCGCAGCAAAAGCACCAAACCATTAGACCAACACGGCAGAAAGACCCTCCAGCACATGTGGTCATTGAATGCCCTGTTGAGGCGTCGAATGATTATGAGAAGGAAATTCCACCGAAGACTCCAGCTGCAGAAGCTGACGACATCCTCTCACCTATCTCCACAGAGCCATCCTCGCGAACATCCCACCAGACGAAAGAGGCGGCAGTCTTGAACTCGGTGGAGGACGTGCTCAGTGGGAGTATAGGACGGGGATCTCGCCGTCCACGACCACAAATCAGCTATGCTGAGCCTAACTTGAGGGATAAGATGAGAAGGCCCGGCAAGGGGTTGGTGGGAGCGGTAGAAGGCATTGAGAAGCAAAAGGAAAATGCGTCGAGTGCAAGAGGTACAAGTATGGAGCGGGCGAAACCTGACGACGTTAAAGTCAAGCAGGAGAACGAGACCAATGGCGAGGATCAGGGGTGGAAGGACTTAGCCATGCCAACTTCAACGTCTCGCAAGAAGGAGGAGCCGATGAGCCCTTTGAGGGGGAAAGAGAGGAAGGAGAAAGGAGACGATGAGACCAGGAAGACGGCCAAACAACCGAAAGCCAACGCTGCAGATGAGCTTGAGAAGGCTGTGGATCGATTAAGTATTTTCGACCCGCCGGCCTCTTCTCCAATCGAAGATTCAACGGAAACGTGGCCAGATACAGAAGGCCAGAAATTGTCGAGGAGTTCGGCAGCTGCGAGACGAAAAGCCTCGTCGAGCGCGTTAGCTACGGGCAGGAGGCATTCTATGCAGCCTGCCTCGTCTTCTTCAGGTGATCCAACTGGCCTCTCTTCTGCTCCCCGCCATCCCTCTCTGGATCCATCAAAGTTGGACGCACAACCGCTTCCACGACCGAGTTCTGCGGCAAGTCTGCGTGGGGACGCGCCGTCCACCAGCATGGCTTCGGCAGCGAAGGATCTCAAACGCTCGCACAGCGTCAGTTCAAACTCGAAAGACAAAGAGCTGGGAGCCTCCGGTGCTGAAACGGGACTCAACGTGAGTTCGAGGGTGGAAAGGGCTCTGAACCGGCGGCGGAGTATGATGGTATAGCAACCTTGATGTTGGCCGCTTTGGTGGCATGATCGGTGTTTCCCTGTTTGGCTTAACGTTTCTTCGTTGACCTCGAGGTCGAGTTGTTGGATCTTCTCGTTGCTGTAGGACTTGGACGACATCACTGATTTGAGACGCCAATCTCGAACTTTCCTGTGTCCGTCCTGCTCCTTGGATGCTTGCCTCTTGATTAGCGAGATATACCACATTGATTTATTTCCCCCCCCGCTCCACTCTTGACGCCTCATCCATGCCCGTTCGGAACATTGTTGGCGCCGTAATCGACACTCTCTGCCATCCCCATGACGACGCTCTCTAGCCGTCTCACGCATTCCTTCATTTCTCTCTTCCTCGCTTTTCTCTCCTGCTCCATTTTCCGCACCTTCTCTGCCAACAACCTGATGTCTTCCGCTTGCTGCTCTTCTCCTCTCCCAATTCCGGGTAACCGCGAGATCAACATTTCGATCTGTTGGCCCTTGAGGACTAGATCTTCGGCCAATTCGCGCTGCGCGTTGGCGAACGTCTGAGGGGCCACTGGGCGCAGAGGAAATGGCGCGCGGTCGGTATCCTCTGGCCCCGGGTTTACGCTGGCTTGCAATTGAGCAGTCGCGGCATCGACGGCGTTTGGGGTTTGAGATGACGCCGCCGCACCAACGACAGCCGCGGAGGGAGGGTTTGTGAAGGGGTCGTTCGGGTCCGGGTCGGGAGCTACAAGGGCGTGTCGTTGAGAGAGGTAGCTGATTGTGGAGAAGAATTGGGTTAGGAGTTGGTCGTAGCAGGTTTGCAGTTGGGTGAGGATGTCGCTGGACATGGTGAGCGTTGTGGCGTCTGGTGTTTCTTGATGCTGTGGTACTCTCGGTACGAGTCCGAATTATGAGGGCAAAGGCTCGTGGCGGGAGATCTGCGCCCGGAGCTCAACTTCTAGGCGCCGAGTCGCCTGGGGAAGTCCGCAGCGAAAGCCGGTGCTGGCACGCCAGCTCGCGAGGCGCCCACAAACAGCTAACTAGTGAGCCACTCCATGTCATCGGATTAGTGCAAAGGTACAGCCTTGTCTGCCAGCCTCCGGCATCGACATCAAGAGATTACTTCCATTTGCCTCTGCTGGCTTCCCTGCCTGCGCTCTACCGCATTTATCGCCATCCTATCGACGCACTCCCTAGCTCATCTTTTCTCCTGACTCTCTCTCTGTTCCATCTACTGTGGTAGACGCCATGTCGGTCACTTCAGCTTACTTTACACAGCAGAGTGATTGATCCAGTCTACGTCACAAGGCACTGATTCAGCCGCATGCCTCAGTCCAAATCTCCGACAACCCCTCCAAGAACGTCTCCCCCACCCGTATTTGAACCATGCATCAATCCTTCACGGGCAGTATCCGCAAGCCTCGCCAGGTTAACCTCTCTGGCCGCGCGCCCACCAACCCATGGGCTGCCCTCCCGAAATCGGCTCAAGCCAGTTCTTCGGCCGCAAGCAGCACAGTTGCTCAGGCTCAGGCGGATCGAGCTAAGAGACATCAGGAAAGAGAAAGATTGAACGCTACAAAGACCATTCAGAAGCTATGGCGCGGCCACGCGAGTCGACGGGAACAGAAATCACGATGGAGACAGACGTGGGATGAGAACGAACAACGCAGACTGGGCTCGTCGGGTCGAGTTGACTACCAGGCACTCGTCGACGACGACGACGCAACGATCCCGGCTTATGAGAGCTCAGCACAAGTCCTCCTGCAGTTCCGACTGTTCTTCGGATTCCAGGAGTTTAGACGAGGCAGGCCGAGAGATGACACGGATCTTTTCAGATTGCTTTATTTCGGCGAGGCTTTGCATCATACCATCGCCTCTTTGGGGTTCGAGTTGGATGACAGCTGGGGTTACTACCTCTCTCGACTGGGACTGGTTGAGGTTCGCCACCTCAAGAGCCTCCTCGGTGATCATAACCACGATGACAGGATGTCTTACGGACCAAGAATATTGAACATGATCACTAAGCTGATTGAATATGTACCAGACGAGATAACCGGGGATTGCGCAAACTATTTCGATGTGATCGAGTTAGTGTTACGCAGACGAAAAGAGGAGGCGTGGCAACGGCGCTCAATTGAGGCGATAGCTGCTCTTCTGAGATGTCCTTCAACCCGAAAGCAATCCGTATACACTGCCTTTGCAACAAAGTTTCTGACGAAAGATTCGTTTTCAGGACACAGGGAGACTCTGGACGAGCTTTCTTCGTCCCTAGATCTGCAAGAGCTGGCGCATGCCATTGCGAAGGAGATTGAGGACACGGATAGGAGCGGAACGCCTGCATTGACCACTGCGCGGCTCTTATGGCAACTGGCTCATCTCATATATATCCATAACGCTCTGCATGAAGGCTACGCTGGTCAGAGTACGTATATCGAAGCAGTCTCAGCACTTTTGGGAGAGTGCGCAAATGATGTTGCCGAGAGAATGGACCTGACCGACCAGCCCATGCTCAACACCGGCAACAAGACTGATAACAAGAATGCTCCCGCACCCTTACCGGGCTTTGTGAGAGACATGGTTTCAAAACTGCCAGAGCAGAATAATCTCCGAGCAATTTTAACAGAGATGGGGTCAGCGGCAACTTCAGGAACATCTGCTGAAGATGCAGACTTTGATTCTGCGAAGCGACTGGCAAATTTCGCGGTTGCCTTGTTGAGAGCTTTTCCTCGCCGGGCACAAGATATCCGAATGTCTCTGTACCAAAGTTCCGTCAAATCGATCCAAAATGCCGATGTGTCCACCATTCAATACTTCTGGAGCGCCGCACGGACGACCGGCGTCTTCAAGAAGATATCCCAAGACTATCGTATCGTGCTCTCGTTATTGAGAGAAGCGGCTCCAAGAACCAATCAAATAGGTCAAGCATTGTTGTCCAGAAACGAGATTGCTCGGTGGCGAGATGAGTGGCGGATAATCTTGCTCTTCCTCGAGTTGTACACTTTTGTGCTCAAATTCATGGACGACGACGATTTCTTCTCCTACGACAAATTGCGCGCGTTTGGGGCGACGTCAGGCTCGTCAACCAGTTTGTTGTCAAGAAAAGGATCGCTACCCTTGGAACAGGTGGCGCTGATGACTACTTTTTTGAAGAACCTCGCTTTCACCCTGTACTGGAACGCAGCCGACTTGGTGGAGAGCAACGATCAGGATGAGGAGCTCGGTATATCTGCACTCTTTGGCAGTCCAGGCCGTTCCTCTGCCAGGACCACGGAGAAGAAGCAACAGACTTTGACTGGCAATGGAGTGTCGCACGGCTACCTCAAAGGCCTAGTCACGGGCGTACTGCGGATGCTGCATGAAAGAGACTCCAGACGGTCATTTGTACCCGCGGATCACTGGCTGATGACTACTCAGGTAAGCATGGCTGGGTTCATTCCCGCCGTCGTTGCAGAAGAGGAGAGGAGACACGAACTGGGAGATGAGGATGAGACGGAGGAAGAGGAGGACGAGGTGGACAGAGAAGCCGAAATGGATAGGTCTGTGGGCTCATCAGCTGGCGAGGCTATACTGAGCTCCATCTTTGGCATCCGGCCTTCACACGTTCCAAGAAGCAGAGCGTCACGATTGGCGGAGCGGCTGGAAAAGCAGCGATTGCGGGCCAGGAAGAAGAGGCAGCTCGAGGCGTTAGCACCTCGTCTTGAAATCCTTCGCAACCTACCATTCTTCATTCCGTTTGAGACCAGAGTCCAGATTTTCCGCGAATTTGTCTTCCGAGATCAGCTCCGCAGACGAAACGGAGTCACCGACCCCGATACATGGCGTATGGTCGTGGCCTCGACCCAAGGTCGAACCGCTGACGGCAGGCCTGTTGGGGTTGACATCCTCTCCAGGCATCACGCTGAAATTCGTCGTACCAGTGTCTTTGAAGACGCTTACGAGTCGTTTTACATGCTTGGAGAAGGACTCAAAGAACCAATACAGATCACCTTTATCGACCGGTTTGGGGCCCCAGAAGCCGGTATTGACGGGGGCGGCGTGACAAAAGAGTTTCTCATTAGCGTGACAAGCGAAGCATTTGATCCCGATTCCAAACCGGCGATGTTCAAGGAGAACGCTCAGAGGTACCTCTATCCGAATCCTACGATCTACCAGGAAACTGCAGAGCATCTGAGGCTCAGCGGCCTTAAGGGGGGCTCCCAGGAGACGGCGTTCGCTATGGCTGAACTTCTCCACCGTTTCCAGTTTCTGGGTAGAATAGTCGGAAAGTGTCTATACGAGGGTATCCTGATTGACGTTACCTTTGCTGGCTTCTTCTTGCTGAAATGGGCCCTGACTGGTGGGACGACTGTCGGCTCAAACGAATCCGCTTATCGCGCAACGATCAATGACCTCCGAGAATACGACGAGGAATTGTACCAGGGTCTCCTGAAGCTGAAGAATTATACAGGGGACGTGGAAACCGACTTCGCGCTTGACTTTACGGTCACTGATACTCTTGCTGTTGAAGATGAGCAGGGCAAAACGATTCACAAGACGTCCACAAGAGAACTGCTTCCGAATGGCGCCAATACCCCTGTCACAAACACCAATCGATTGCTGTACATTGACCGAATCGTGAGGTACCGGTTACAGCAGCAGCCGAAAGCAGTCACGGACGCGTTTCTCAGAGGCCTGGGTGAGATCATCCAGCCCATGTGGCTCGCCATGTTCAACCAGAAGGAATTGCAGAAGCTGGTCGGTGGAGACAACACTGAACTCGACATTGCTGATCTCCGGCGCAACACACAATACGGAGGAGTCTACACGATTGGCGACGACGGCCTTGAGCACGCCACGGTGCAACTATTCTGGCAAGCGCTGCAGGAGATGTCGGATGAAGACAGGCGGAAAGTGCTCAAGTTCGTCACCAGCACCCCACGGGCACCGCTGCTGGGATTCAGTCACTTGAATCCGAAATTCAGTATTCGTGATTCCAGCGGGGACCAGGACCGGCTGCCGAGCACCTCGACCTGCGTGAACCTGCTCAAGTTGCCCCGGTACGGAGACCTCAAGACGATGAAGGAAAAGCTTCTGTATGCAGTGAACTCGGGGGCTGGATTTGACTTGTCGTGAATGGCTGGAAGTATTTAGGTGTTGACGACACGAGTCTAGGATGCAAAGAGTTGGCGATCAGGCAGGACCGAACCGAGTACAAACCATACAAGGTATGTACCTACAGGGATTCCCAGCCCCAGCCTCTGAGGACGCCAAGTGCGAAGTGTTTCGGGGGCGGAGTTTAGTGTACCAGTTGGATCGCGCCGACCCTGCATCGTCGGAGAGGCTTAGTTGGCGAAGCGGTCAACAAAATGTCTATATAGCTCCTTGGTACAGCGGGAACAAGTAGTTAGACCGTGCGCGTGGTGATCCAAACGACATAGTTATCCTTTGTCATGTTCAACTCGTTCTGCCTTACAAAACAACCGATTCCTCCCCACAGGGCTTGCTTATTTGCGTGCCTTGGTGAAGGAAGGGGTAGCACCAACTAAGAGCGCATCTTGAACCATTTCTTGGAGGGTGCGCGGACCCAACCCGATCGCCACCGTTCTCTTGTTAAGACAGCTGATCCAATCTCTACCAGAGACCGATAGCTTAAAGAAATTGTAAGCTCACACACCCTTTTCCCCATCTTAAATCGAGGGTCTCTTATCGAGGGCTGGGCGGCTGAACGCCGAGGACGATAGCCGCCAGTGGATTTCATGGCTCGCACAGTTCGTCTCCGTCGCTCAACCGCTTTGCACTGAGCACCGGCCTAACAGTATGGTATGGCAGCACAAGGACATGGCTTGTTTGAGAGGCATGAACGACCGACGGTCGTTACCACTGCCGCCGCACGGACTCCAGTGTGCACGCATACCGACTACACATCCTGACAAAACATCAAATCCAAAGCATGGCTTACCGTAAGCGCAGATATATAAGTTATATGAGCAGTCAGAACAGCGGTAATATAAGAACCTCCTGGCACAGCAGGACATGACCTGGCATTAAATCAACTGGCAATTTCACCCATCTTTGTCCCACGCAATATGGCCAGCACCGAGACCGAGCAAAATGACGGCTACCAGTTCTCTCGGACCTTCTTGTCTTCCGCACGGTACGTGGAGAGCCCATAAGGCCCGCCCCTGGAAGACAAACGTCTAACGACGGGGAAAGGCTTACGGCGCAGCACTTCATCTGGGTTCTCAAGAACGGATTCTTGTTGCACCCGGCAGTTGAATAGAGGCCTTCACAAGTCGCCGCGCCAGAAATCGTGGATGTTGCAACGGGTAATGGGTATGTTCCATTATGGAGGGAGGCATACATCATTTTCCGAACGTGTTCATTGATGAATGGGCTGCCAAAAAAAAGGATTGTGGGACTTACCTTTAGCCTCGGACCATCCCGACGGTAAGGTCGTCGCGCTCGACGTCTCGGCAGCGTGGATTTACTTAAGTAACTTAAGTAGGACTTAGCCTTATTTACACTTGAGTAAATCTAAATTTACTTAAGTAGAGTTCAATATCTAGTAGCTCCAACCCTAAATCACCTAAACCTAGGCTCACATAGTAATTCAACGCCTCGAATACTAGTGTTACTACGCCGACATCATCCCTCAACAATATAAACAGCGGGAAGATGAAGAATAACTTAAAGATGAAACACTTTTATAGAGATAGAAATAAGTTCGGTATATATTTAGTTTAACTTAAGACTATATTTACCCTACAGCGTCCTAAGTATACGACATATACGGAACGAGTCTTATACGCTAAACTTTAGTTAAGAGAATTAGTATTTATGTAATTTAATCTCATTATATAGAACTTTATATATGTGACGGCAGTAGACTTGATGTAACGGTCAACTTATTCAATGCCCTTCGGGAATTGAGGCATGTCGATCATAGTGCAAGACTTTGGATTGATGCAATTTGTATCGATCAAGACAGCAAAGAGAAAAACGCGCAAGTTCAGAGGACGGGCGACATCTATAAGAACGCGCAGAAAGTATGGGTTTTGCTTGGTGAAAAGAGCGAGGAGACCTCTCGAGCATATCGTCTTGCTGAAGAGTTGTATAGTCATTTCGACCTTGAGAATGTCGACGAAAAATACTTTCAGATGGCGTTAGAGCCTTGGAGTGTGCAATTGCATTCCAGGCCGGAACTCAAAAATAACCGTTTCATAGCAGCATCCGCCGTAATGATCAAGGTAAAAGATGCGTTATCCATCAATTCACAGGCGCTACGCCAACTCTTCGATTTCTCCTGGTTTGGGCGCAAATGGATCATCCAAGAGATCATCCTTGCTCGAGAAGCACGTGTTTTCTGTGGGACTCAGTTAATTCAGTGGCAGAGACTTGAAACGGGTATCTGAGATTCTCCCTTCCTGTGTAGCAAACATGACACTGCGAAAGGAGACAGCCGGTACACCATTCCAGATTTTGATGTCCGGTCTCAACCGAACACCTCCGCCAGCTACGATGGCGAGCACATCCGCCGGTGTATCCATACTTTGTTTACTCATATCTTTAAGTCAGTTCAAGTGCTCGAAGGCAATAAACGGATACTTTGCTCTCCACAACTTAGCTGCTAAAGCCAAGGAGCAAGAGTGACCATTGAAACCAGATTACGATCTCACTTTGCGAGAGATCTCTTTCCGATTTAGCACATGGAATCTAGTGACCAAATCCAACGGATCTATCCTGGAATATATTGAGACAAGTCACCCATCCAAATCAAGAAGCACATCGTGGGTCCCTACCTTTAACTCAGACGCCGGAAGCTCCTTCATTAAAGGAGATCCTAGGGACCACATCTGGCAGTGTTCAGGCAACAAGCCTTTAAATGTCCAAGTATTAGAAGCCGAGTTTACTCTTCAATCAAAGGACGATCTCTAGGACAGATTGCTCTAGTGGAAGCAGACGATTCGATAATAAAGGCTCAAGCCCTTCAGCTATGGTCCACAATCCCATCCCTAAACAACAGCAGATTAGTCCCGCTATCGTTGTCAAATGCATCATCATATCATGACAGGGACTCCATTGGGGTGACAAATGAGTCACTGATCCAACTTCTGCAGCCAGCAATTCGACTTCGCACCATGCTCCACGACCTTATTGGAGCAATCCATGAATTTCATACTGGGACCTCCACGAGGATGAGCATAGCCTTGTTCGAGGCCCTAACATTCGACGTATTCAACGAAGAGGCGAACCCAGTCACGAGTGTTCTCAGACTTTCCACGACGTTCTCAAGAAGATACTTGCAAGCAGGCCGAGACCGGAAGCTAAGCTCCGGAAACTCATGCAAGATCCCCAATTTCATGCGCTCTAGGAGGCTTTAACCTCTCCCTCAAGGCTTTATTGTGCAACGGCGGATCACTTGATTACAGTAGCGCCAAGCGTCCCGCGCGTTGGTGACAGAATATGTCTCTTCTACGAATGTCAATGTCAGGGATGGCTTGGCAGCGAGTTATCTAAGAGGTATATAGCCTATCTATAGGCGCAGTGCGACAGCGACTTCGAAGCTAAAGCGCTTCAAAGGGATGATCTGCAACCCCGTGCTATTATATACATATGGTCTTCCAGTGCCTTGGCGTCTTGGCGTCCATAACAGTCAAACCTCGTTTGTGATTTGGCCTGTTGGAGATGGTACATGTTATCTTGTGGGACCTTGCTATCTACATGGAATGATGCATGGTGAGGGCCTCGAAAACGGCCTGGATGACGAGGAATTCATTTTATGGTAGAAAGTTGTGAAAACACTTAATCACGACGGGGAAATATAGTGGCCCCCGTGTAAGTTGGGGGACTGTCAAACTATACTTGATTCTTTTGGGGGTGGCTGGGGGTGGTTCGGAGATACATCCTCCCCCTAATTTGGTGCTAGACACTAGGCTCGGACCGTGGGATTTGGAGGCTGGCGAGGCCAAGCACCCCTCATCTTCACGCAGGTGGGTTTCTGGTCTGTTCCCCTCGAACCCTTCGCTGCGAAGGTCGCGTCTTCATCAAAATCCTGCCCTCAAGTCCAAAATTGAGACTTCGTCCTCCCACTACCGTGCCAGCAAAATATGGATTTGACTCGCCCTGGTTCCATTTCTCGAACGAACGATAGGATGGAAGCCGCGGTTGACCGCCCTGTTGTCCCACTTGATATTCGCATGAAGGTCTACCACCCCATTAAACCATGGCAAACACGCCTTCTGCGAATCCATTCCTCCAAAGACCGAAGCTCGCCGGTGACATGTGATCTCTTGACTGTTGATCTGATCCCTTTCGCAGGGATAGGCTTGGTCGACGAATCCGAAATTGTCCAGTACGAAGCACTTTCCTATTCATGGGGCTATCCGAAATTTACACATGCAATCATATGCAACGGAATACGCTTTCCCGTCTCAGAGACATTACATGAAGCTCTCCGCCACCTACGCAAGCCTGACAAATTTCGATACCTATGGTGCGACGCGTGCTGTATCGATCAAGCCAATAAGAAAGAGAAAGCGAGGCAAGTTGAAATAATGTTCACAATATTCGAGAAGGCCCGCCACGTCGTGGCGTGGTTGGGCACGCCTACAGTCGAGGACGAATTCCTTTTCGACTATATTTCTCGTACTGAGGGACAACAGCAGCGACCTTCGAAAGACGATGATGTGCAAAGAGTCTCAAATATGTTCGAAAACAGGTTGAGAATGTCAAATAGCGCTGGCGTGAAAGATGAAGGGAGCGATTCTGACTTCACGCGGGCAAAAAATGCCGCTTTGACATTCATCACTAAACCCTTTTTCGAGCGGCAGTGGATTCGGCAAGAATACGAAGCTGCTGAGGAGCTGTCGTTGGTCTGTGGAAACTGTCAGACAGCCATCTCTACTTTCCTGCGCGCTCTTCAGACGCTCCTGTCCGATTACGGCGCGTCATACGAGGTTGTCCTCAGTGAACCGGAGTTAATTTCACGAGCTTGGCTTCGTTATACTTATTTCAGAAGTCATTTCCTTTCGGAATCTCTTATAAATACTTCGCAGAATTGGTTCTCCACTGTCATGAGGGGCTCTGTCTACGCGGCGACACTACCACATGACAAAATCTTCTCGATACTTGGCATCGCGGCTCGATTCCAGAAGGATAAAACGAATCTGACTTCCCATGTTGGAAGAAAGCCATGGAATATCACTCTAGGGTATCCTGGGATCGACTATCACAAGTCTGTGTCCTTGGTCTTTCAGGATTTCATCAAGTTTACGATCAACCTAGAGAAGACATTAGCTTGCCTCGCTATCGTACAAGACAGAAGTACCATAGGCCCGGACCTTCCTTCTTGGGCAATTGATTTGCGCGTCGATGTTCCTCGCTGCCAACTTTTTTCCAGCGGTATCCGCGGTTGCAAGGCGCAAGACTTTAACAATCATGGCACTCTGGTCGTTCTTGGGCAAAAGGTCGGGAGAATTGGCGTACCGAAGAGTCAAAAGAAGGATATATGTCCATTTGCAGATGACTATCCCCATCAAGAGGAGCAAAATAGAGCACTAGTCGATCAGCCGAGTCTGAAGGATTGCCTCACACAGAGTGAGTCCGATCTACGCATGATTCCCGATTCGTTCCCGAAAGTTTCAAGGTTGATACAGCGGCGTTGCAACTACACGTATAAAGAGATTACTATGGACACGCCGGTGAATTTTAGCCGGTCTCAATGGTGCGCTTGGCTTTTCGGCAGGCAAAGGTATACTTATGCTCTTGCTTCAAGCTTGGTTGATGATGGAGATTGGCTGGTTCTGCTCCAAGGTTCGAGGTGTTTATTCGTATTGAGGCAAAACTCGGATAACCGATATACTTTCTTGGGTCCAGCGATCTGTTACATTGGAACATACTCACCGGGTTGGCCGGAGCAGGAGGTCAAGCCGGAGATGAAGAAGTCGGGAGACAGTAAGAGATGGCGTTCCCTTCCAACATTCACGTACACATGGTTTTTCAGCTCCCATATACCAGCAGACGATAGTTCTGATGAAGAATTTGTTCTCGTCTAGATCAGGCTTGGGGGGGGGCATACCATAATGTCAGCGAAATGGAAGTTAACATCGGAAGACGCGTGCAGGCAAGTATAAGGTGAGATAGCTGAGTGGTTTAGTGAGTTTGCACATGAGCTACGAGTAGTGTTTATTACATACTTCAGGTCCTGCTCGCCTGGCCACGTTGCGCTGAACGGCTGAAAGGGGACTAGCGGGTCGATGCGCAAGGCCTGGTAGGGCGCCGAGCCGTGAAGCGCGATTTACTTGGAAGGAACCCTCCTCGGCGAGGGTGATGCGCTTTGCAGCTATTCCAGACGAACCGCCATTAAACACCTCGGAAAATGGAGGTTTATGGCTCAATTTTGTGAGCGGCCTCATTATTGCGAATTTAGTTAAAGGGGCCTCCCCCAGCCCCATGACTCGGCCATACTTGCTTCCCGGCCAGACACCGGTTTTAGACGAGCTTTTGAACCTGGTAAATCCTTGCTTCTACACCGGTCGCCTGATACAGAGATGGGCAAAATCGGTGTCCCCTTCCACCAGCCCAGAGGCTTTGTGGATTTGCGGATGAACCCCAGTCATCGTCAACCGCTGTGTGGATCATTCAAGTTATAACATCACATTACTTCAACCGCAGCGTCACTTGAAATAGCTTTTGGTGCTAAAGTGTCAGGAGTAGGTCCGTAGTTCCCTTTGGGGATCGCCCAAAAAGACCAGTATCCCGGCATGATATGACGGGATCTCGGACCTAGCAGCATTAGCCTGTCTGAACCTTGGACTGGACAAAGGTTTTGGCATTTATGACAGTTTCTGATTAAACAATCTCAATTATATACTGGGTGCAAATCACGGTCAAATGCGTGATATCTATCTTTGTCAAGAACGGGTTGAAGTGGAAAATGTCGCAGCATAGCAGCACAGTCCTCGGGAAATCGAAGGTAGCCAATTCTCTGATATGTTCCTTTCCTTCCGTCAACCGGTTTGAGGACCAACACGGCAACCATCATGACATGGAAAAAATCACGTTTTCTTTTCAGTTACCCACCTTGGCACCTCACCCAACCATTCAGGTAGTTTCAGTACGTCTTTTGAGTCTTTCATCCCCAGATAGCTGATTATGGGAAGAAAGAAGGCAGAAGTATTGGATATCTCCTTGACTCTGGAGTCTGGCACATTCCACTCGACCTTGAAGTTTTCACCACAGAATAACAGGGTTGGCCGCAATCCAAGAGACTCGTCTGGGAGGGAGAAAACTGCCGTGGCAAGACTCCCTTTGATGCGAACGATTCCTCCGCCAACAGACCCAAATTCGCCTTGAAGTCGACGTGTAGACACATCGATCACCTGACCCTGTCTCTCTTTCACAAGAATGGTCTCCCGCTTACTCGCAATGCCCTTTGGGAAATCTCTATTGATTGCGCCGTCGACGGATGCCCACGACCAGGAAGGGGCCTTGTGACTAACCACCTCTCGTTGCTGGCTTTCTGGAAACCACACCATCCTGTCTAGCATATCCAAGCTCCATAACCCGGCGCCATAGTCTCCGAGCGTGCCTTTGGATGCCTCTGACACTCTTTCCGCGAGTCCGGCGATGGCGATTCAACTTGTCATCGCGATTGGTCAGGTCCTGAGCCGAATAAGACTTCACCAGATCAAGCCATGGCTTTGGATACCGGCTAGGAGCTTGACTAATCTCGGCGGGTTTTTCGAATACAAGATGCCACAGATCGTCCCGTTCACTGCCAAACGTGTACCTCCATTTTTCTTCCGGAAATATCTCGATTGGATGCCAAGAAATTACCCAGCAATCCTGGCTGCGCAGGGGATACCCAATCACGTGATCGCCGCACAAGGTAATGGGTTTGGGAGGGAAGCCTCAGCAATTGCTGCCTAGATCTAAGCCCACCCCATTTGGGCATAACATGCTGGCTAGACTAAGCTCAATGCAAATGGTATACAGTAAACTGCCTCATTCTGCTTCAATTTGCCTGACAAACTTTTCGTCGTGTTATCCTCTGCACATTTGTCTCAACCCACACGTCTCGGATGTTTAAGATCTAAAGCCGCAACCCGTCTATTTTCCTCTCGTCATTCTCGCCAGTACCATTTCATTGCTGGCTCCAACCGGATTCCTCTGTCAAACAATCCTTTAGCGAATTCAATTCGGATTGCAGCCACTACGGTGATGAAAACAGTCGCCTTCTCCAATGGAGACTGTCCACCTATTTACAGACCGCTCAATCGGAACTCCAGAGAAATAAGACTCCTGCGACTCCGGGCTGGATCTGCTTGCTCTGATATCCATTGCGTCCTTGAGCATTCTTCCTGCCCTGAAGCCACAAAATACGACGCCATTTCCTACTGCTGGGGTGATCAATGTGTGCAAAAGAGAATTTTCCTCAGTGGCCAGCCATATCTTATAACGAGGAATGCAGAAGCAGCCTTGCGATCCCTGCGGCATGAAGCCTTTGAGAAAATGATGTGGATCGACACTCTGTGTATTAATCAGAGTGATGTCGCGGAGCGAAACCACCAAGTGGGCATAATGAAACAAATCTACCAAAACGCTAATCGGACCTGGGTTTGGCTTGGCCATGATGATAACTTTGCAGCAGAAGCAGTCGAAATGATATCTCATCTAGCGGATCAAATGTCGAATCGAATAAACCTCTGTAACGACCCGATGGAGATATTGACAGATTACGAAAGTGGCCTATTTACACCGCTGGCATTTGAACTCCTGCCATTTTCATCTTCAAGGTGGGACTCCGTTGCACGATACTTTTCTCTACCATGGTTTACTCGCGTTTGGATTATTCAGGAATTTGCATTCTCTCGAGATGTCATTCTTAAAAGAGATGATCTCCTGGGATCTTGTCCAGCTTGCGGCGCACGAGATTGACTACCAATCACTGGTTGGCCGCTCGAATCAGAGAGGACTAGATAAAGTCCAGAATGTCATGTCTATCGAAATGCTGGGCTCCAATGACTCCGGCTTATTCCCCACACTTTGCGCCACCCGAGATTTTCAAGCTACAGATCCTCGAGATAAGGTATTTGCTGTTCTTGGGTTGACCCAAGAAGCTAGCTCCAGTCTAGCACCGGACTATAATCTATCAGTATCCGAGGTATATCGTCAAGCAGTACGATTTCTAGTCCAATCTATACAAGACCTCACGGTGCTGGGCGACATCGACCATTCCGCTACCGAACAAAGCTCGGCCAAGAGCAACAACTTCTCATCCTGGACTCCACGGTACGATAAGCCTCGAACGTGCTCAATCCTTGTCCGCGCGTACCCACCTTTCCAGGCTGCTGGCCAACGCATAGATATGGAGACAATTCCATCCGACTCACATTCTCTTGCTCTCGGCGGACTGCGCATAGACACCTTAGCTGTCCTTGGTCCAGTGATGACTTCTGACATGATAGCTAATGGATCAGGACTCTGCCAGATTTGGAATCAGTGTTTGAACTTCGTTACTTCTTATCCGACTGGCGAGCATGTCTTACGAGCATTCAGCTTAACAATGGCCGCAGATAAGACACTCAAAGGCGAATCAGCGGCCACCGATCCCAACCACGACGAAGACTTTGCAGCATACATTACGGAAACTGGACATGAGCTCAAACATTTGTCCTCTCGAGAGCATGATGCTCTGGTTCTTCGTGCTATAACTGGAAATGCCCTCAGGTACGAGGGTGCAGTAGCAATGATATCCACAGGACGAAGGTTCTTCACTACCGGTGAAGGATTTATGGGCCTTTGCCCATCAGGTGCAAAAGAGAACGACCTTGTGTGTGTATTTTTTGGGGGTCCCCTTCTCTATATAATCAGGCCCGAAGAAAATCTTTTCCGTTTTGTAGGAGCATGCTATGTCCATGGTAGGATGGATGGCAGCGCCGTCGAGGAGCAGATACGTCATTTCGCACCGATGGAGATGTTTAGTCTTCATTAAGTTTATATAGTTCACATATTCAACTGGAGATAGATGGGTTTATACTTTAGCTGCCCTTCCTGCATTGAAGGTGAAATATTATCAAAGGAGGTCTTGTAAACGTAGTCACCTCCTTCAGCGCATTGCTACGAACAAGTATAACCGAGCGGGAGGGTCCGGAATATGGCCCTTCTGAGCTTTGAAACACAGAAAACTGAGAACCGAGGGGCAAGTTGTGGGCCCCCTTTATACACTCAGGGTTATGGTCAAGCTGCTAAGGGCAATCCTCAGAGCTCGCTAAGTGGTGCTCAGAATCGCACAGCCACAGCTCAGAATGGCTTAGTCACGACTCACATTAAGTGGCGAGATGCTCAGGTCTCGAAACGGAAATGAACCTTGAAGAGGTCAACATTCGCCGCTGAGTAAAGTGGTGTTGTCTTGTTAGTACCAACTAGGAAAGCGTCCTCGATTCCCGACCTGCTGGACAGGCCTCTGTGCGTTGTTGCATGTACACGCCGAACCCTGAAGTGCTTTGTTACAATAACTACTGTAATGGGAGAAGTTGGAAGTGGTGGATAGCGTTATGATTGGCTGAGGCGCCGACCCTAGACTATGGTTCTTCTTATATAGTTCTGGGGGACTATCTTTCATACAATACACAAGCAACCAAGTTACCAACAGAGAGGACTTCCCCTAGTTGAGTGTGCGCGTCAAGAAGAGACTATACCCACCGCCGTACGAGTTGATGCCCATGGCTAGTAGCCTCGCCCCAGTTCAATAAGAAGGCCATATTTATACTCAAGTAAGCAATAATTCTGGCCCACACTGCCTATGAGTGACCGTCGTAATGTAGCGGTTGGGTCTCCTTTAATGGGCCCCAAGGAGACAAAATCCGTCTTACACAAAGTGCCCTCAATTTGAATACCTACTTAAATTTAGGAGCCATCGAAAAGCTTTAATTACGGCAAGAGGGATGTGGGTGGAGGTCTACTGCGATGGATGTGTTGTGCATCCAAGAACGGTCTGGGGTGTTTAATTTATGCTTCTGAGGCACCAGCATCTCCATGCTGGAGCGACAGGAACGGGGGCTGAGACGTACGAGCCCTACGACAAGAAGATACCGAGTGCTGACGGATTCGGATTGAGCAGATCCTGATGGGATATAATTTAGGCAGAAGCCTCTTTTTTAGGTTCATGGACATAAAGAGACATACTTGAGCAGTGAGCACAAAGGAGATGAGGAGTAGACGTAGAAAACGACGAGACTTGTCTGCCCCACATCCCCCATAACTTGTGTTAGAAATTTTCGATCATATGGTAATAATTGCCCAATCATGGTTGACCCCACATAGAATTCAGCTTGCCCGGTTTATTCAGCCTCATACGAGAAATACGAAGTTGAGTCGAGCCACCGGTTTCGGAGACCACTGGATTCTGCCTCTTCCCCTTCGTCCCGAGAGTAGTAATCGGCATCAGACCGTCAGTACGATCTATCCGACTCGTCTTCTTCATCCATATCATCGCCGTCCTCAAACTTGTAGTCTCCTTTTCCAGCTCTGATAGATCCTCGTCAATAACCTAGACTACCATGGCGAGAGAGTGCGGTGGTCTCTCTGCAAGCGACCAGACTTCTCAACACGCGAAGCCCGTAGCTGCGGGGGTTCAGCCAGCTTCGCCGGCTTGCCCGTTCGTCGATGTGGCTAACCGGAGCTGCTTCCTGTTCGGTTGTTTTGAAGCGTCGCCCCGCTGACGCGTGCCATTTCTACAGCACTAACACAAGCGCGGGTCCAACTCAACGACCTTCACCCCTTTCGAATTTAGGAACTCGATCGCTGTCCATTACAGCCAAGGGCCCTCTGATCAGGACTGGGGCCAGAGTTCGCTCACCGACTGGTCTACATCACCTTGACGAGATCACAAGCTAAGGGCAAGAGCATCTTGGACCTCTGCCAGCCTTTCCAGAGTCACAAGTCCCATGGTGGTGCGTTACCCGACCCACAGCCTGGGCGTCTGCATACTGACAGTTGGAGGAGAGACTATGAGTCTGCGACAGTTTTCCGCTGAATCTCATCCAGCGAAGCTGCAGCGGTCCGAAATTGATATGCGCACCCTAGCCCTTAGTCAGATGTCTCCATCGGCTGTGATCTCGATTTCGCTTCCTTGTGGACCCATCGGACCAGTACTCGGCGCTAGGGTGAGATTCTAGAACTTGGGAGCTCAACCTACTTAGCAAACTCGATTGTGGGATAGAGTCTACGGCCACACCAGCCACTCAGCCAATCTCGCGGGAAAATGCCTACCCCGATCTTCGGGGGTACTTTTGCGTAGAAGGCGTCGACAAGTCCTGTAATTGGCTCTAGCAGACTCACTGGACTTTCCGATGGCGGCAGCGATAGCAAAAGGGAGTCTTGCGCTTTCGCCGCATGATCTCATGGATCCGAGATTCTCCCGTTTGGTCGTCGTTTCCGTCCATCGTGTTAGTTTCGCCGCGAGGGATACGATGCAGTGGATCACTAGAACCATTGCATGATCATCGGTTCTGAAATTGTGGGATGATTGATTTTGTGAAAGGTAAGCGAACAAGTGTAGAATCCGAACTTTGCTGGTTAGCGCTAGCCTCAGCTTCTGTTACAGTATGCGTAGCACCCCTGAAGATCAGTGAGTTTAATCCGAAAATTCGGATTGGGAAAAACCTCGGTGCGAAGGGTGTGGCAGCTGAGTGGTCCACGATTGTGCACGTGCCTACCATCTTACCCTTGGCATTACGTTACTATTGAACGGTCGTAACGTTTAACATACGGTCGTGCTGAATTAGGGTGTTGGCAAGCTGGTCTTATATATATATAATATATATATAATCGCCGAACCGTCGTCTCCCACGATTCTTTCGCTGACCAATCACCCGCCGCTTTGCTCTCCTGCTAACGACTATTTAGCCGCCTTGCTCCCTCGTCCACTCCCTTCTCCTCCTTTCCTCTCTTTTACGCTCCCCTTCTGCTCCCTGCTGCTCCCTCGTGGCTCTGGCACGCTTCTACCAAACTCCCTCGGCTCCCTCCCTGCTCACTTCTACTCCTCTACATGCCGGTGAGGCTCCTATATTGGCTCCAGCCTCACACACGCCTACGTCGCGTATACTCGGCCTCGTAGTAACTTTACCCGATAGTATTAATAATAGCCTATTTCGGGCCCTTGATAAAAGGTAAGATCTCTAAGAGGATGTGTCAGGGTTAGTTCCGTGGGCCTCTAGCTCTCGCTGCCGAGACAAGTGTCCTGGGACGGTGGATGTCTGAGGACAGACGTCCCGGCAGAAATAAAAATCATAGGACGAAATTGGGCTGAAGATTCTTGTACCTATCCGATAAGGAGCTCTAAGAGGGATCTCCTAGTATACAAAACAGCCTATGACAGGCGTCCCCGCCCCAGAAGTCCGCTAAAAGTTTGAACACTGGTTTCTGAACTTCAATGACCTTGAGATCCTAAGACGTAGTACGTAAAATATTAGATCGGTGTAACCATCATTACTCGTGTAGAAGACGGCATACTAGCAGGAGGTACAGTCTGAGGTGTCAGTCCCTTAGCAGTCGGTGTACTGAATACCACACTCAGCTAAACCCAGCATAAAAGCTTGCGGTATGCGACCTCGAGTGATAGGTCTACAACCCAGGATCATCCCGCCTGCTGTGGCAATGGACTGTCATCATCATGCTGGGCATACTTCTGGTGTTACTGCTCATAGCCATTACGCAGTACATCGCCCATCATGTGTCGCCAGCGGAGTCGCTGACATCTACTGGTATACCGGTGGCTGGCAACTTATCTTAGCAACTCGACATTTCTAGCCATGATTATCAGCCCGCGGGTAAGGATGGCGTAGATAAAGGACTGTTTTGGTGGAGAAATATGGGTGGAGGACGAGCCACGAGCAGTGACAAGCCCGTGACTTGGTATAGGAGTTGCTAGATAGACGTACTAGTGGAAGGAAGTTCGAATTAGAAGATGCGATTGGTAACGTAGTATTCTTGGTAGATCATAGGTACTCAGTATGGGGCTAGACTCGGCAGTTCAGAAAATTTGGAAGTCTTGCAGGGGCAAATGCGGCATGTCGGATCTTTCAGTCTGATCCTTCAGTGAGACCAGCGCCAGTGCAGCCAGTGCTTCTCCGTGCATAATTTCATGAACATAGGCAGCACCCACGAAATGGTAGCCATCGTCAGCGTCACGCTTTCGCAAGCAGTCTGGAAATTTGGAACCGAGCAAGATGCAGATAAGATCGCCCATCTGCATGTCTGCTGGACCGGAGCCAAGATATCCTTGCGATGTAATGAAAAACCGCCGGCGGTATCCATGAAGAAATGCTGCTCTGTAATAGAGCATTGCGGGGCCCGTTGGTACGATACGTTCGGGGATGGGGAGGTCCTCGACAGGAAGCTCCGTATGTGCCAGTTGTACCATCTTAGTGACCAGATTAGTTACATCACTTCCGACCTTTATGGAAGGCAGGAGGAAGTGCCTCGAGGTAGTAAGGGTTGAGAACAGGTCACCAAAGATGTCTGGGGCCGGATACCGCCCGGATGCGTCGGAGTTCCAGATCAAAGTACGCCAGAAGGCCTCGTCTCGCTCATGCTGCTCCACGCGGTCCCGACAATATTTCCCATCGAATTCAGCCAGCCTGCGCTGATATCGCCGGACTGTGTGGAAGAACATCGATTGCTGCTCCTCCGGTTCCCCGGACCATTCCACGTCGATCACGAGAGGAGTATCGAATGTGAATCCTGTCAGGCTCAGTTTCCCAGCTGTATCTTTGGGGTCGAGGGCGCATCCTCTTATGTTCGCCCACTGATTACCGTCTGCCCCGAAGAAGCCTGTGGGATGTGATGCGTTATAAGTCTCTTGACTCACTGAACCAGAAGACGAAGACCACTGGCTTCGCGAAAAGTCAGGAACCCACGTTGGAAGATCAAGGCTCTTGGGAAATCGATTGAGGAGGAGCATGCCAAGTATCCCGGAGGATCTAATCACCGTCCTAGTCACCTCCTCGTATACCTCTTCTGCCTTTCTAGTATAGTCCGGGAGCAGACCTATGGAAGGCACAAAGCCTAAAAGAGCGAAGATCTTGTCCCTGGGGTCGCTTGCGAGATGGTCACGTGTTTGGGTCAAGAGGTAAATGAACCCAGTGATCTCGTCTAAGCTCCTATGAGCCCGAGAACGTAGATCCGTGAGGCATTCTATCCTGAAAAGGGCCTTGTCAAGGTGTCCAAGTTGTTGGAAGTAACTAGGGCAAGACAGGTACTCACGTATGAGCTTCGCTGCCCGCTCAAACATCCACCAAGGCAGCCAGATTGTCCCACAACCAACCCAAATAGTGCCAGATTCTCTCCTGGCGGCCGCAATTTCTTGAACGATCCATACACGGCGCCACCACGGACGCTTCATGAGCTTCTGGAAGGCTATCCACTCATTCGGTTTGTGTGGGTTTATCTGCTCGCCCTCGGTGGAGTCGTGGAGCCTTAGAAGTGAACTGAAGGGGTTGATGCATCTCTCCACTCCGAAGAGGATCCCAGGCGGAGTGATCGTAGAGCCTGGCTTTGTTCCTGAGTCCAAGACACTAACTAATATCATGGCAAGGTCGCTCTCATCACAGGCATCACCGAGCCACACCAAAACCCTCGATGCTCGGGCATATATCGACCACATCATTGCGACCTGAATATTCCGCTCAGGAATATTCTCCTGATCGATGCAAAGGGCATCGATCCAGAGCCGCCGATGAGATTGGGATGATCCTTTGTTGGTGCACACCTTCCTCCGTCTCAACCACTCTAATGCAATGCTCACATTGCCAGGAACCAGGCATTCCTTGCCATTGACAACGATCTTAGCCACCCTGGCGGGAGAGCCCCACGCGTAAGAAAGTGCCTCATATGAAGGTGCCTCGTTAAGTGAGACTGAGAAGATTGCGCATCTGATGACGCTCTTCGTGCCATCCTCCTGGTCGTCCGAGGCATGGCAGAGATCCAACAATCGAATTTCGCGTCGAGAAACATCTAAGGGATCATAATGATACTCATCCATTCCTCGCGCGTTCTGGCGAACCCCGAAGAGTCAGGTTTGTGCGGTATGTTGGGTTTTAGTAGCCTCGTCTCGATCGTCTGACTCTTATCCGGAGTTCGCGTCGGTTGCAGCTGGAACATAGAACACCGAGCGAGAAGTTACAAAATAGTTGTCGGCCAGGATTTTCTTCAGATTTGCCGGAACGACCCTTTCTGTTCTATAAGCAGAGGCCCGCAGAAAGACGGTGTAGTCAGCCGTGGCTGCAGAGAACTATTAGATAGCTCAAAGAGGTAAAGGCTGTGTCATCTAAAGTGCCTGAGCGGATGCGATTCGCAGCGCAAGGAGACCCGCATCTGATCGGTTGTCCATTCTCAACATATTCCATTGACATGTCTACTCTGGGCGCAGAAAATCATTTTCATAATGCTTGTCAAGGCGCCATATGTCTCACTGTCATAGGCTTGTCCGGGCGGGCCTTAGCAGTGGCAATGCGGCCAAGGGTGGTTCCCCTTTCCATCCTCTAATCTGCAAGTGTCAAACCAACGCCCAGGTGCGCACCTCCGTACAATTCGACCACACACCCTAGCGCACCGCCAGGCCCAAGGTTACAGGGGAATTTAGGCAGCAGTGTAAGGGCACGGAATCTACCAGGTTCCCTGACGCCTATCTGAAACAGATGCCTAGCCGACAGGTAAATGGGCGTCAGGCCGCGCTCCCTGTGGCTCGCGCAGTGCTCGGGCGCACTCACCAATACTCTGGCCTGGGCCCCACGACGCTCTCACGTACTGGCCAGGCCTTCTCGATGCTCCGTCGCGCGCCCGATTAAAGCGGCCTCGCTCCCTTTCCTGAACGAAGATGGTAATGGATAAAGTATAGTTCGAGGTATATATAATATATATATATATATATACGGACACTGTTTGCAATCTAGAGCCAAGCAAGACTGGGAAGAGGTCTTTGTGGGCCTCGAGCAGCCCAAGGCTAACTATCGAAGCCCTAAGTTCGATATAAAGAGCAAAGGCACAGTGCCCTTTAGGGTGTTGACCACAACGCAGACCATGCCTTCCCAGAAAGGGCATCCCATTTGTAGTGCTGATGTCACCGCCCATCTCGCTATTCATGGGAAATGGCCGACAGCCTCCTTTCTAGTCAATGACTAATCATGTTGTCAACATGATTGCGGAAATGGATGCATTGAGGCCCTTGGGCCGGGTCGATGGCATGAGCGACTGTCCTGTCTGTATATACTCATTCAATAAGTGTCCAAATTGGTAATTCCTTGAGACAACAGTGTCCTTCTTGCTAACGAGGGTTATTTCCAGTTCTCTTGGAAGCACTGGGAAGTCGGGTGGGCCCCTGTCGAATGTATTGGGAATAAGTGGAAGGCGTTGGTTGGCAAATCGTACAATTTTACCTGCTGCCTTAGTCAGTTTCAGATAATGAACTCATCGTTTTATCAGTTCAACATAGACTTCATTCTAGACTGATAGAGAATTAAAGGGATTGCTCCCTCCTTTGGGTTTAGCCATGGATCGAACCTCTGCCACCCATAATTCATGGTGTAAAGCTCTACCCCCGAAAGTAAAGAACCATCCTCTTGCGCCGAAAGGTGGCATGGTCAAGTACGCCGTAATCCTCTGTGTATGCTGCCACCACGGCTCCGGCACATATAACCTGTTATACATTGAGACACAACGAGACGATACGAGTTTGTCGCTCAGGGGAGTCCATTACCTCCTATTTAGTCTCTCTCCCTACCGATTTTCATGGCTGGGACCTCGCAAATTGCTTCTATGCTGCTCTTCCAACTCGATAGCCTCGATAGGCTTGTCGTTGCCGGAGCCCAATCTTTGGGGAGAGAACACGGCGGTGGAATAGTTGCTTCTTGCGACGACGGTGCCACCCTGGTATCCTATCGAAGTTGGGTCAAATCCAGAATTGCTTCTTCCTTTCAAATAGGCACATAGTTGTTCAAGAATACTAAATTCCATGACCAACTTGATACTGTAGAGTGCGCCCTTGTAGGTGGTCTGAATGTCGTATTGATTCGCATATTCTGTTCCAAGTAATGTGATGTCCATAATGATGATAATAACGTTAACAATAATGAGGTGGATCATGATCCGGCGTGCCCTCTGACTCCAATCGTCTAGGGCCGGCTTGAGCATGTCCCAAGCCTTGTAGATGTACAATCCGGAGATGATGAATTCCTGAAGCGCAAATCCGGTGACCTGAATCTTCTCGTATATCTTGAATGGCTTGATGAAAGGCTCGGGATTCGAGGAATTGGCCCCGAAAAAGATGATAGTCATGACACCGTGTAAGAGGAAGAAGTTAATAATGATCATAATAAGAATCCATCGAACCCTTTTCACATCCGGTTCCACGAGATGCAAGCGGGAGTACAGCACCATCGACTGGCCCGTAACCATACAGTACCATCCTCCAATAATGAATATCAGAGCCATCATTTTCGGTGCTCCGAGTTTAAAGAATTTGAGCAGAAATCCAATTGCGTGCACAGGGATGCCCCAAGATGCAACGATTAGAGACCAAAAGTAGAGACCCCGATGCCGTTTGAAGGTTAGGAAGATTTTGACATTGATGTAGATAAAGTTGTAGAAGGATATCGCAAAAAATCCGGCGATAACCATTGCTACTCCTGTAGACACCGATATAGCTCCGGTTTCGCCAGACATTTCTGTGAACGGTTTTGTAGCCTGGAAAATGGGTTAGACAGATATCGGTGCGTCCATCTATTGGGTCGCCTCACCAGAGACTGAGAGGCTTTCTAAGAGCTGTGGTGCATCGGAAACTGGCTGGTGTGGAAAGTGATAGGGGCATAGCTCGGAATTCGTAATAAAGCGGGTGAGGACGCAGGCCGCAGACTGTCCATCATTTTTCCAAGTAGATCTTTACGGAGGCCATTTATTTTACGGTTGATGGAAAAGGCTTTGCGCCCTCGTATATGCTGAGGTAGGGAGGTCGATATAAAACCGCGACCCAAAATTTGAGTTTCGAAACTCTTCTTTCGACAGGGAGCCCTCAAGTCAGAATTTGTTTTAACTGGACGGCGCTCTTGACTAAAAAGAGGGTCTTCAACCTAAGAAAATGCTATTTGTCCATATCCAATAGGAAGCCTTCCAAGATCTAGTGTAAACACAAACGAGTTACGCTAGCCAAAACATGGGAAAAACTGATTGGAAAGTTCCGAACAGTGAAAAATTGGAAATGGCGCCAAGATACTGGGCATCGTGATCGTCGCAACTTATTCAACCCAGAGCCACGTGTTCTCCATGGTCCTTTTCTCCATAAAACCAAGCCTTCATACAACTTTGGAGTGTGGAGGCGCGGTATTGCACAGCCCGCTGACACCCGGAGCCCTTCAAGAAAGACTAGGCTCACGCTTAGCGTAGCCTGTGTTGGCGCGGATGCATCGAGAAAGAATGGTTTTAATAATGACTTTGACGGCCCCTTCACACGACGCTTTGCATAATACAGCACTCTCCACCCGCATCGAAAAATCATCTCAGAACAATACGTACCCTTTTCATCCAAAATGTCTGCTGCAAAATCAAACTCGACTCCTGTAAACAATGTAAATGTGTCCACAGCCGCCGCTACATACACCGGAGAGCAGCGCGATATTACATGGGAGCTCAAACAGCCGAAACAGGCGGAGGGAGTTGAGAAGGATCGAACACATGCCAACGACAAAGCCCCCAGGTCTAGTGGAAGAGTTGACGATGGGGTTGGCGACGGAGGAGAGAATTCCGAAGATGTTAATGGAGAGATGTTGATGTTCCTTGAGGATGAAGAGACCATTATCAGAGGCGGGATCCCGATGTGGATTGGCCGGATAAAAGAAAATAGGTAACGGGGAATTTTGTCTACCGGTCCCAGAGACCTAGGCGGAAGTGGGCATAGGGCATATTGGATTGGCACTCCGAACTTCCACCTAAATTTGTTTCGTTCAGTCGAATCGCTACAAAGTAAATGGATCAGCTCGTTTACGAGGCATAATTCCTACTCCTTTCCTTTTTACAAAGTTTCTCCGCCCGTAGGACTCGACAGGGAACGCTTCTTTAACTGCGAGTAAATATTGGAGTGAAAGAGGTGTTCGCGATAATAGCCTTTAAGTTCACCAATCAAATTGAGGACGTCACAAAGACTTCAAAGAACCAGAGAGGTGGTTCATTAACGTTCTAAATCCGACATAATTAAAACTGATACAAAACGACACCTAGTATGTTTAAAAACCCGACCCTCTATTGATCCGGAATATCTCTAAACTTCTACTCATGGCTGTTAGCCTTCTCATCGAAATAGATTATCGATAGATGTAGCCTTAAGACGCCCCCTAGTTCTCATGAGAGGCATTAATTACCCTAAGCACTTTCCAACTTTTCAAGTGAGCTTTATCTTGAGCAAATTTGTAGGCTGAAGGAATCAAGAACGTATCACGACCTTAATCATAACTTCTTCTTGGAGCCATGCCAGTTTGTCAGATCCTGAAATCCTGCGCTGGGCTCTTCGAGACTCAATCTTCCGCCAAATATCGGTATCAAGAAAGAAATCTGAGGAAAAGGGAAATAAATTATTTCGGGTCTGTGGAGCCCCTATATCAACGAGTAGTCTCACGGCCTGTAAAGTTCATACCTTTAACAAGAAACCTCGGGCATTCTTCCATACATCAATATCAGAGCGAGCGTGGTAGAAAGAGAGAAAAGAGAAACCGCATATGTTCCGACGCCTCCTCGACCATTGGGTCAGCGCTCGCTACACCTAGAGAGCTCCGGCCGTCTGCCACATCAAATAGGCAAGAAGGTCGAGCAACTAGATATAGTCAAGTATACGGCCAAGAGAAAGACATTACAAGTGAAATAATATTAATAGGTGGAGACCTAGTTGAAACGGTTACCAGTCCCTCAATGATGTGAACCGGCAGTCAGGAAGGTACTGAGAGTCAGGTACTTCGCAGAATCATCTTAGTTAAACACTTAATTCACCCTGTGCCCATTCCCAGTTCAATATTTAAGCGCGTAGCTGGACCAGCCGATTCATTCAGTAGAGTCAGACTATTTACAATTCATTTGAACAGGCTAGCCTAACTGTAGAGATCTTCCCTTACTACGGAGCGCACCCTTATAGCTTGTGAAGCTACTTATTGATTCTCAAGGTATAGTAGTCCCCTAATTCCGAAGTAATGCCTTTCCATTTTATCAGCTTTACTCGTTGGTCCATAGGGGAGTCGGGCACGTCGATGACGGAAAACATAATTGTCGGTAAATTCGCAATCTTCCACCCCTCAACCAGGTCGGCTATCAAGTCCCTGAAGGGTGGACATCCGTTTCCCGCATCACCGTCCTCTCACCTAAGCATTGATTTTTCAGAATCTGTCTGCGGATTACCGATTCCCCGCGTTGCCCTTATTCCTCATATCGAGGTGGTCGCTCTCATTTTTGCTCATCTCATTTCCAGCGCCCCTCCCTGAAGCATAATATGAAAATGAAAAGTTGGATCTGTCTCTTTCCCGAGTGGGAATCGACACTTCGACCACACTCTTCAACTTCTTCTGTGGCTCGTCACAAATGAAAAGCTCCTCAAAGTCGAAGTCTCCGGCCGAAGCGTCGGCGGTATCTGGGGTAGTCTTTTTGAGGAGTTCGCTCTCCATATTGGATGGAGAGGAGCTTAAGCTGGATGCGCCACCATACGGAAGTCGATGGATGCCAGGGTGATGCTTTGTGGTTGATGCATTGACCGCGTTCATTTTGTGAAGGGCCATGGATGCAAATTGGATGTCAAGAGCTGGAAGTAGTCTGACGTTAGCTCTTTAAAAGAATAAAGAGTGGAAGCCGTTCCATAAGTGTGATGGTCGTAGTTAATCTTATGGACCATAATTATGAAATTCGTAGAGAGCCAAGCGAGCTAGCCCCCGCTCGGCAGTGATCCCCGATGAATTTTTGTGGCGTACAAGTATGTTTCCGGGGTCAAACTCCTTATTGTGGTTTTCCGAGGCTCTATTGGCGGGTAGGTTCACCAGCTGAGCGGGATATTTCTGCCAATGATAGACCACCAGCAGATGTCGCGAGCGCCGTGTTTGCGGAATGTGCCGGAGTGACAACCCTTCTATGAAGTTATTCATCAAGATGCACAGACCCAAGCTCCCACTCCTGCCTTGGCTGGGAATTGTCCTCTCAACCGCATAGACACATTGGAAACAACAAGACACCGATGGTACATACCTTCTGAGTGTCTAATGTGGAAGTGAAATGCTAGTGGCGGCGTGTGCCGCTCCCGACATAAGCCAAAAGCGACGAGAGGAAAAGGGAGTTGATGAGCAAGCCGAGCGAAACGGCGGTCATGACATCCAGTTAAAGTGGGGGGGAAATTTGAGCCGAAGAGGTTTGTTCTGGTCTGTTCTACTCTTTTTGTCACGACCGTGCGTGGGTCATTAAACGGTTAAGTCATGACATGTGCCCAGACTTATAACAACCACACAACCACACGCACAGAACCTGCAAATACGAGCGCAGGTCTCGATTCCACTCCTGAGGATCCTGTCGACGACGATCGCCATTATCGAATCGGTGGAAACGTGCACAAAAAGGGAGCCCCGCTCGAATATGGTCACGGAAACAACGTGGACTCTCTTGGGTTGGAAATGAGGATGTGTACGTCTTTCCGAAGAAGTCGGTTGCGCTAAGGGTGACTCCGTAAACAGCAGAGTACCAGCCTACATCAGCCACGGTCCTGAACTGGTTCGTTATGGAGGGAACGGTAGGGCAGCAATTGTAAGATCCGGGCCGCGCAAGACGCAGACCAACATCATGCTTGCGACGTTGAGCCATAGTTGTGCGCCCGTAGGACAATCAGCCTCCGGTTCTAGATCGTCTCCGACTTGAAGCTCTTCGGTTGGCTAGCCGGTTATCACGGTCAACTCAGGGTGTGGTTCTGAAGCTGTTAAGAACCATGGGCCACGGTTCAAGTGCTGTTGGTCCAGTCCAGGAGAAATTTGGCTGAATTCTCCTGAAGCTCAGGTAACGGGCGTTGTCGTCGAAAAGGCGACGTTCTTGAATTGTTCAAAGGGACTCGAGAGCCAGTTGTTCTTAGGGCGCTTGGTGTGTTATATGAGGTCATTGGACCAGCGTATGCCGACGGACTAATTGATATAGACGGACCTGTAGACACTGATTTGGGCCTATTAGTAAGATATACCCCGATTTGAACCTCACTAATATTGTCATCGATAGACTCGCCATGACCTGGGGAATTAGACACAATTAAGCAGCAATCTGACTAGTTTTATTAACCCATGACTATTGAGCTGTGCTGTTACGTGCCTTGTCATTCACCACTCCGCTGTCATCGGATTTATCAGGGACCTACGCAACGCAGTAGGTACAAAGGAATTGGAGTAGCTGAATGCCTTGTTCTATTCACGTAGCCCTATTGACAACGACTCAACGCTTGAGAAAAAGGAAGAGTTCTCTCTCAGCCGATTCAGGTGAGAGGAGACTCTTATAGCTTCCCCTCTTTCTGTTACGTGAAAAGGGTAAGGCAGCGTTAACCGATAGCCTTGTGCCTCAACCGTCCTTTGCCTTATCCTTTCCTTTTCTTTCTATACCGTCCACCCGATTCGGGTGGAGGGCGTAGAGTACTTGGGGACAACGGTGGGTTCGTGACAGTTGCCCCCCCTCCAAAAAGCGGCTCGCCCTCGAGTCGCTGCGAGTATGAAGACAGCCTTAATCCATCGTATGAATAGGCCGTCTCAATTGTTAATGACGAAGACAATGATATGGTAGTTGAATAGCCATTCACTGACAATAGTAAGTGATTGAATTCCCACCCGGTTTAGGTGAGACAGCCGTTTTGTATTGTTACAGCAATGCGGGTGAGGTTCAATTCACTTTAGCCTTTACTTTGGTTCTTGAGCCCTTTGCTATGGTCTTCTTCGTCTCTTTCTTCCTCGTTCAGATCAACCATAAGATGTGTAAGTATTACCCACCCCACTCGGGTGAGAGACGCTGCTGACATGTATATAGCCTCTTACGTACGAGGAAGTCCGGCTGGACACTCAGTCCCAGTTGGGCTGTGGTGCCAGCCTTGTTAGTAAGAATTGTGAGTTCTACAATATCAGAACAATGACAGCGTACTAACGAAAGAAGCGCTTTCCGCGGTTTTACGGATCCTCCGTCTGCTTCTAGCTCGGAGCCAGTTTTTTCTGCCTTGCCCTGCGACTAAACTTAGTCCAAGTCGTGTAGGTTTTGCTCTCGTTCCCGGCCTGGCGCTGGCTGCGTTGCCGTAAGTGAGAATTCAGCCAAGGTTAATGGCATGCTAAATAGATTAGATCCCCGTTAACCTGCAGGCAGGTTGTCGTACCCTCCAAGCTCTCATCGAGAGAGCAATTTCCGTTGCTGGCAGTGGTTCGACTATTCTAGCCGATCAGATATAGGTGTTTCTCACCCGATTCGGGTGATGAATCACTAACACCTATTTCAGGGAATGGCTTAAGTCCCAAGCATAGGGGCTTAAGCCTATGTTTCGAAAAGCCAACCGTGCTTATAAGATTGGCGGCGATGCCGACCTCTCCGATCTTAGAGAGATTTAGCATTTGCCAGACGTCCTAATGGACGTTTTCACCTTTTATTAGTGATATTAAGAGGTGAAGGAATAATACTGATTAGAACAGTGGCTCCCTCTCTCCCGGCCCCTTCTACCTCCGTCAATAACGATGAGGAGAATTTTAGCTCGGGTTTCGATATGCTTATCCTTCCCACCCGATTCGAGTGAGAAATCACTGACAGTGAAATAGACTAGAGTGCTAGTTATTCCAGTGACTTCTCCTCTCCTCTCTCCTCTCCTCCGGCTTCGCCG